GAAGAAGAAGGCGAAGAAGAAGGCGAAGGCGAAGGCGGCGAAGGCGAAGGAGGAGGCGAAGGAGGAGGAGGAGGAGGAGGAGGAGGAGGAGGAGGAGGAGGAGAAGAAGAAGAAGAAGAAGAAGAAGAAGAAGAAGAAGAAGAAAGAGGAAGAAGAAGAAGAAGAAGAAGAAGAGAGGACGATTACGATGACGAGAGGATCGATAAAGCGAGGGCAATCGCCACGTATCTGCACTTGGGCGCTTAGGGCAAAGTCAAGAAACCACGTGATGAATCGACATCACCATAGCTTATGCATGCGCACGCACGCTCCTCAATGCGTTTTGGCTGGTTGCGCGCCAGAAGAACGGATTGAATTGAGGGCATCCATAGCCGGTTTCACAGTTCACCAAAACGGATAAGGAAAGGCAAAAACAAAACTGAGAACAAAGCCTGGTGGTTGGAGAAAGTTCCGAGAAACCTCCTCTTTTTTTTTTTTTTTCTTTTACCCACAACACACAAGCCGCTTATATTCTGGGGGGGGTCAGTCCGGTTACTTGCTACCGGCAAGCAAGAGTACAAGAAGCAATGGAACGAGAAGAGGAAAGTAAAGAAGACTCAGCCCAGCCCTTGCAGTACGAGTCACCTGCTCAAGGAGGGGGGGGGGGCATGCTATGAGCAGCCCCCCCCCTCCCCAAAACCATAGCCTTCCTGGGGGCCTTCTGTTGGCCGGGAAGCGTACTGGCAGCACCCAGTCATGCAGCAGAAGAGCCTCAGGAAAGCCGAGGCACAGGGGAGGCCGTTCCTAGCAGCCTCTCAGGCCGCACACCCAAACTTGGTCGTGGCTACTCGATCAAAACGAAATCCGAGAAACCTTCTCACTATTACCAGTTTTATTATTTTGCGTTATCCAAATGGGACACACACATCCTGTTAACGGTAGCAAACGGAGCCAAATGGGATCCTTTCAGTTCCGTTTGGTACCACTATATAGCTGTACCGTTCCAGATATCTGGCACGCTACAGATAGTGAGATAGTGGATGTCTGTGCACGCCCATTGTACGCACATTTTGGCACTAGATATCTGGAAAGCTACAGACATGCAGCCATGGTGTGCATATCTGGGACATACAATGGGCGTGCACATTTTGGTACCAAATTTCTTGTGGAAGAATGCACCAAAAATCAGTACTTATGTGAACAGGATTACAATTACACAGTAAAAAAAGAAAAGAAAAGAAAACAACCCGATAGGTGAGCGGCGTGAGCCCCTCATCTTGGGGCTTAACTTTCACCCCAGTCCACTTAGCCGTTTGGTTGAGTGTATGCCTCCTGAGTCCTGATCTGGAGGTTGTGCATTCGATCCTTGCGGTCGCCTCGTGGACGTCTATTTCATGTGAGCCCTGCCTTCCAGAAAAGTGAGTAAACAATCATTAAACTTGATTAAAGTTGATTAAACAATGATTAAGTCAAAATATATCAGATCTCTTCTAGGAAGATTCTCACGCCCGGCCGGGCAGCCGGGCATGACGCTCGGGGGGTCTAACACCCGGGGTACCCGGGCATGCCTTTTTCCTTTTTTTTTTTTTTTTTTTTGGTTGTTTTCTGCGCTCTCCCGGAGGACCCCAAAACCGGGCTCATTTCTTTTTTTGAGAGTTGGCTATCAAGGAGGGGGGAGGGGGGTATAAATTGGTTTTAAAGCGGCTAAAGGGGTCTAAAGGGGGTGCCTTAGTGTGATTCTGTTATTTTCTTTTCTATCTCCGATTCTGTGAGGAATTCTAATGTGACCCTCAGCCAAAAGTCCTTTATATTGCAATTCTACACAACATTTTGTTTTCCAAAGAATTTTTTGATTTTTTTTTTTTTTTTTTGCGCTGGGGCTGCCCGGAACCCTGCCCAGGGGTCATGACCGGCCGGGCACCCGGGCGTGTACCCGGGCATAAGTTGGGTGCCCGGGAGCCCGGAAAAATAGCCTAGGATCTCTTTCTTTTTTTTTTAAATACAGACAACTGTATGCAATGCATGACCTGTGCTCACTGCTCACCAAAATATCTAAGCACGAATATATATATTGTCACATAACTACGAACTAAAAGAGCGCACTTTGCGGAACAAAGAATAAAAGCAAAAAACGGGCACAGTGATAACATGCAAAAATAAAAATAAAAAGAAAAAGAAAAAACAAGGGCAGATTGAAACCATTAAATTTCTCATTCTTCTTTGAACTCCACCTCCACTGTGCCTCTCACGT